TTACTGTCCTGAGACTGGGAAAGAATGCAGAACTAAGGGTCTTAGTCAGCAGAAATAAGGGTGTGGATTTCAAAAAGTTGCATTTCAACCAACATAAGGAGGTAGTAGGCATGGTGCCACAGGAGGATAGACTAAAGGATAAAAGGGCCCAGGAGGGCTAGAAGCTTCTAAAGGACACAATATTGGAAACCCAACAAGAAGCTCTTCCAATGCAAGGGAAGCACAAGAAGAACAGCAAGAGACTAATGTGGCTGCACCAAGAGCTTCTAGGCTGTCTCAAAATCAAAAGCATATAGGTAACGGAAGAATGGGCAGGTCACCATGGAAACGTGCCAGGAAAGGGCAAAGAATTTTGCAAGGATAAAATTAGGAAGGCAAAGGTAAAAAATGGCCCACACCTGGTGAGGCAAGTTAAAGACAACAAGAAGAGGTCTATAAATATTAGGCCTGTGCCAGTCGGCAGCAATCCGATCCAACTTCGGATCCGGCCACTTCAGATGGCCGCAATCCGATCCGGAGCTCCGGACAGGGTTCCCACTTCGATCCGGCCAAAGCAGCTCCAAAGCTTTGGAGCCGCCTCAGAGATCCTGCCATAGGGTATAATGGGGAATCAATGAAACATCTATAACTTTGGAGTTTTTTCATCCAATTTAAATGAAACTTGAAAGGGTTGCAGCCTCTGCTGAGAACATGAAACCTGCCAAGTTTCAAGAAGATCGGTGCAGGGGTTTGGGGAGAACTGTACCCCAAATTCTTGAAAGCCAAACTCATGTCATGGCTGTGTCTTACACCACAGGGGGGTCAAAACTGCAGGGCGGGTAGCTCTTACTGAGGCCACGAAGCCTGCCAAGTTTCAAGAAGATCGGTGCAGGGGTTTGGGTGGAGCTGCACTCTAAGCTGTGGACAAGCAAAACTCGTAACGTGGGTGACACTGCGTGTGTTAAGGTGCAGCGGGGTGACAGCTGCAGGGATGGTGGCCCCTGCTGTGACGCCTGCCAGCTGTGGAGGAGATCGGTGCAGGGAGGTTCTGGGGCCCTGCCCCCCGATCTGCTGACGGACAAAACTCGTGCCAAGACTGTCTGTCTTGGGGCAGTTGATTGTCTGCATTGATTCTTTCCTCTCCTTAGCCTGGTTTTGTAGGTGCTAATTGATGCTGGTTAAGTCGTTATGTAGTAGCTAGGTCCTGGGTATTGAGCAGGTCCCTGAGTCCCTGGTCTTTGAGTGAATCATGATGGATTGATTGGTAACTGGTAACACAGCAGCTTAGCAGCCAGGCCTGCAGCAGTGTCAACCCTCCCCGCCCCAAGACAGACAGTCAGTCCCACAGGCACCCATGGCACGAGTTTTGCTTGTCCACAGCTTGAGAGGCAGTTCTCTTCAAACCCCTGCGCCGATCTTCTTGAAGCTTGGCAGGCTTTGTGGCCTCAGCAAGAGCTACCATCCCTGCAGTTTTGACGCCACGGTGTTGTAACATGTAGACGTGGCAGGCGTTTTGCTTTCAACATTTGGCGTACAGTTGCCCCCAAATCCCTGCCCTGATCTTCTTGAAACTTGGCAGGCTTTGTGGCCTCAGCAGAGGCTAACACCTCTGCAGCTTTCACCCCGCTATGTTGTAATGCCTAGACGTGACATGGGTTTTGCTTTCAAGAACTTGGGGTACTGTTCCCCCCCAAATCCACGCACCAATCGTATTGAAACTTGGCAGACTTTATGCTCTCTGCAGACTCTACCACTCCTGAAAATCTCATCCAAATCGTATGAAAAATAACAAAGGTATAGATATTTTATTGTTTCCCCATTATACCCTATGGCCGGATCTCTGAGGCGGCTCTGAAGCGCTTCGGGAAGCCAAACGAGGCAGCGCTTTGACCCGGACGCGCTGCTTCGGACCCTGAAGCCTCCGAAGCTTCTCCAGATCCGAAACTCTGTCCGAACCCTCTCACAGCCCTAATAAATATGTCTGCCAGAAAGGAAAGACCCTGGAGACTCTGGGTCCCGGGTGAGCTCTTAACAGAAGATGAAAAGAAGGGGGAGCTGCTCAACTGCTACTTTGCCTCAGGGTGAAGTTACCAATTCCAGTCCCATACTTCATCTGGGGCATGTTAAGCAGTGTTAAACATAGAATGTGAGCAGTCACACATTCACGTTAATACCATTTCTTTCTGCACAACTTTGACTGACTTGCCCTGAAGAGCAGGGGTGTGGCTAGGGGCGAGGATGCTTAGACTCTAGCCCTGCTATTCTGGGGGCAGGAGAGGGAGGGCTGGGAGTCGTGCGTCCTGGGTAGCTGGAGGATTGCAAATTACTTATTTTATCTCCATGGAGCAGACTGAAGTTACCCTAACACAAACTGGAATCAAGTAGCACAGCCCAGAGTTAACCCTTGCTTGCACTAGCATAACTTTGAGACACTCAGAGGGCACTTAGTATGAATAAAGGAGCTTTAAATGTGCACGCTTGCATTTTAAGTGCCCTTAGTATGTTCTAAGTATAACGTGCAACTTCACCCGTAGTCTTCACAAAACCCCCAAACTACAATCAGGCAGCTAATGAGGATTATTGGGATAGGGAAGGGGACAATCTGAGTCTTGGGGACCCTAATCAGGCAGCCCAGCCTGGGTTAATTGCTTAAGCAGCCACACTTAAGACCTTAAGTCTCTGACAAGCTCTGCCCTGGCTAATTAACTGTTGAGCTTCCTGATTGCTTGCTGGGAGTGTCTCCTACTCCCTTAGCCCCAGCTGTGGCAATGGACATGCAGGCCAGTCAACAGTCCTAACTGTGGTCTGCTCTGGCAAGCCTCCTGGTTCCTGTGCTCTGTGGCTTCCCTGGTTCCTGATCCTAGTTTGGCACTGTTCTTGAACTTCAGCTTGTGGGTTAGCCCTTGGACTTTGTAACTCTGCATCTGATTCCTTGGCCTGTCTTTTGGACTCTGCCCCTACATTTCCCTCTGGACCTGATAATCTGTCTTCCCAAACTCTGACCCAGCCCCTGGCCCCTGCCTTTCCTCAGTGGCTTAACTATTAGGCAAGACTGCCTTTGACCTTGTCCCTAACACTGAGGGATGCAATAATGAAACAGACTATGATATTATCAAACTTTTGGTTGGTTTGAATGACTTCAGGTCTGCAGGGCCTGATGAACTTCATCCCAGAATACTGAAGGAACTGTCAAAGGGGACCTAGGAGCCCTTGGCAATAATATTTATCAAGTCATTGGGCACAGGGAGGTGCGAGAGAACGGGGAAAGCCGACATTGTGCTCATCTTTAAAAAAGGAAAAATGGAGGTCATGTGGAATTACAGACCCATGAGTCTGACCTCAATACCTGGGAAGCAACTGGAGTATATCTTAAGGAAGTCCATCTGCAAGCATCTGGAGGTGGCTTTTGACAAAGTCCCATATGGTGTTCTCACACACAAAATGGAGAAATGTGAGCAAGACAAAACAGAAGCTTTGGGTGTTGGCTGCAGGCAGGGCTGAGGATTTTGACCGGAGTGTGCTGATATTCCTACTGGAACTAAAACCCAGAGGGCTCCTGGATAAAGTGTCTTGCCTGTCTGCTCAGTCAGACCAATCACCACATTTGGGATCAGGAAGAAATTTTACCTGTGGTCAGTTTGGCACAGGCTTGTGGAGGTTTTCACCTTCCTCTGTATGTACTTGGGAGCATAGCATCTTGAGTGTATTTTAACAACCCTTGCAGCAGCAGTGTCCTTGTCCCCCTGCTTCACCTGTGGCACTCCTGAGTATTCTTGATGTTTTGAGGCCATGTATCTTGTAGTTGTGTGCAGTTTTAGGAATAGGTTAGACAAGCATTTGTATGGGATGGTTTGCATAGGCATGATCTTGTCTTCAGCAGAGCATTGGAGTAGATGACCTTCTAAGGTCCCTTCCAGCCTCACTTTTCTATGATTCTAACCCGGGACACAGCCGCAGGGTGAAGAGGAACCTTTTGGCTTTCTCTTCTTTCAGCCCTAGGAAAGTAACTCGCATTGAAAATCCAGTAGCCAGCCCTAATCAAGCATCACCTGAAAGCCTGTGCTTTCAGCACAGCAGCTGGTAAAGTGCTCTCTGCAATAGATCTGGGAACGTGCTGGGTAGGAGCATTAGAACAAACACCTTCTCACAACATGCCTTCTATCCCTGGCAGCCACATGCCTTGCACATATACAAAACTGGCACAAGCAGGGTTTAAATTACATTTGGAGACTATTTCATTGAACCAATGCAGACCTTGTGGCTATGCCTAGAGCAGGATGGAAGGTGTAATGTGAGAGCCTGTCACCCAGCTTGGCCCTTTGCACACCTCCCGCAGCAAGTGTAACTAATGATCCAGATATGTATGCCACTGCCTTGTGGCCTCTAGCCAGGACAAAGTGACTGTAACATTGCAAAACACCACATGTCCCAAAATGGTGAGTCAGGCTACCAGGTCCATGAGATTAGCCGAAACATCAAATAAGTACTTGCCAGCCTCTGTGTTCAACATGAGGTGCATGAGTGGAGAGGGGTCTCATTTTCAAGCAGGGCCTGGATTTCCACTTTCTTCAGCAATGGAAGCTGAGATTTTCATACTGTCCCATGACTCTGGGAGCTGGCGATTTAAAACCCAAAACAATATTCCGAGACCCACAATCAGTGGCGACACTTAGGGGGTGTACGAGGGTGCGCATGCACCCCCCGAGAGCACTGGTGCACCCCCTGATTGGCCGCGCTCACTGCTTAGGCGATGGGCGGGGGGGCAGGTGGGAGCGCTGTTACCCACCCTGCAAGTGCAGGCTCTTTTGTAACAGCCCCTGCAATCCGGCCCATAGAGTCACCCCAGTCCATTGCCTGCGGCAGAAGCAGCTGTTATAGTGGTTTCCAGAAAGTCCCGGACACCTCTTTGTTTATCATGAAGAAAAAAGCTGAGGCACAAGATTCAGTTCTCTTTTTACAGAGTTGTCTTCTCTTCCGCAGTGCTTTGCCACAGAGCAGGGCATAGGGGGTGGTTCCGAACAAGACACTAACATTCCCATCATGTACCCTGCACCCTGAGTCTCTTCCCTGCCTCTTCTCCAGCCCTCTCAGCCTGTGACTGTGACAGCAAGCCCACTGCTGGACTGGAGGTCCCTGACCAGTCAGAGAAAGACCTCCAGGAGCTCCATGGGGCTTCCCGGGTGTCTCCTGTTCATGGCTGGACAGTGCAACTACAGAAGCGTGGCTGCCAGTGCTGGAACTAGGATCACAAGGATCCCCATTCTCCTGGCATGGTTGTGGGGTGAGTGGCCTTTTCCCTTTGGTTTCTGTGCCATAGCTAGCAGATAACCTCCAGCACTGTTCATCCCATGGGATGTCACACACAGGGTATCTGTGTCTTGGGATTCAGGATTTGATTCTGCTTCTGGCTTTGGGAAGAGAGAGGGGACTAGGGATCAGAACAGGGGCTGACAATCAGGACTCCCGAGTTTCATTCCTCGTTCGTATTTCCAAGATTCAGTCTGTTAATGTTGGTAAGGAGCCTGTGTTGTGCATGCAAATATTGATCAAATGACATGTTGATGCCATTAATGGATGAATGGAAAAGTGTATTCAAAGTCAAGAAGTGATGTGCATGTATGATTAATGAAGTCAGCTGGACCAAAAAGCTCAGGAACTTGAATGTGGAGAAAGCTTGAAACTCCTTTATGTCAAGGGTGGAAAAAATAAACCTGTACCTCAAACAAGGAAGGGGAAAGGGGTCCAAGCCAGACTAGATGAATAATGACCACAAAAAGGGATATAAGCGGTAAGAAGAGAGCCTACAAGAAATGCAAACCTATGTCCTGGTGGTCAGGACACGAAGGGATATGATGAAAATTAAAACCATTACCAAAAGAGGGTTTAGCCATATAAATGGAAAGAGAGGAAGGAAAAAGAAGTGGGCAGAGAATGTGGGAGAGATTAAAGGTAATCTAGGCATAGCCCGTATGAATTCCTGTACACCAGCATTTCCCAAGCAGAGGGGTGCATCCCCATGCAGGGGGTGGGGGCAGGTGGAAGGCTGAAAGGTTTCTAGGAAGGGTGCAGCGATCAGAAGCAGGGGGACTTGGCAGTAAGGGAAGTGGTGGTGGCGGTGGAAAATTATCAACAATTGGTGACCGGGGAAATGAATGAAGTAGCATGAGAGTGACTGACAACTAGGATGGGGGGTGAACCCCAAAAGTTTGGGAAGTGCTGCTGTGTTTGGTAAAGAGCTGTTATCACAGCACAAGCCTTATCAAGATGCTACACTTCCCCAGCTGTGTAACTACAGGTTTTCACACACATACATGTAACCCGGGAACACCCAAGGGTGTGCCCATCCTCAATTGGAAGGGATAGATGAGGCAAGCGACCGTGCTGAGAGAGGCATACCTGTGATTTGAGCTCGGGTCCCTGTTTACCCTATAGAGTTAACTCCACACCAAAGCTCTTAACTATTTATAGTTTATGAAAGTATAATATATGTAGCAGCATTAAAATTGACCCATCTGAAGGAATAGGAAGGTCTGCCCTGTGGAGGGACAGCATGCGAAGAAACAGAGTTTGTCCTAGTAGGGACACTGTTTGCCCCAAGGGTGAGTGAAGCTGTTTTGGAGGTAGCCCTCTTGGAAGTGGGAGGGGTGATGTAACCCCAGCAGGGTTTGAATGAGAAACCTTAGGAAAAGGCCCGGAAGAGTCCTGGCCTGGGATTGGCTGAGAGCCTTGGTTAAAAGAGGGGAGCAGTTTTCCCAATGGGGAGAACAAAGGAGAGAGAGGGGGTGGGAGACAGGCTGGAGACCAGGGAAAGGATCTCCCCATGGCTGTCTCCCCCGAGAGCCCCTGGCAGAGCCCTGCAGACGTAGCAGCGAGGCTGCAACGAGAGTGCTGCACTTTCCCTTCGCCACCGAGCCCTGCGGGGCAGGACAAGAGAGGAGCTGCCTGTGAGGAGACTCCGAACCTGGGAAGACCCTCCTGCAAGCCCCTGTGTGGCTGGGTGAGCACAGCAGGGGAGGGGGACACAGGACCAGGGGGAGACTGCCCTGTTGTTTTCCCTTGTTAGTGAGAAGGCACTGGGGAGGGGCAGGCTCAGGTGCTGGAGGGATCCCTGGGCTAGAGGAGCAGGGACTGTTCCAGCCACCAGAACCCCTGGGCCAGGTTGGGCCCAGGGCGGTGGTGTGCTGTGAGCTGGGTAGGGTGCTATGAGGCTGTGCTGGGCAGGCGAAACTGTTACAACCTGCAGCCCACACAACGCTTAC